TTTCTCTTCAACCTTGGACAGTGGTTTCTCTTTAGCCTTGGACAGTGGTTTCTCTTTAGCCTTGGACAGTGGTTTCTCTTTAGCCTTGGACAGTGCTTTCTCTTTAGCCTTGGACAGTGCTTTCTCTTCCATTTGGGTTCCCAGTGGCTCAGCAGTAAGTCTGTGAGGCTTATAACACTAAAAAACTGGGTTTAAATAGCACATATAGCCTATTGTGTAGCTTTGTGTTTAACAACAAACAAATAAGTTAAACTGAACTCTCCAACCTTGGATAGTGCTTTCCTTCTAACTTTGAATAGTGTTTTCTCTCCCACCTTGCGAAGTGCCTTTTCTCTACCTTTTTTTGATCATCACATGTTTTTAGTTACATCTTTAGTGTTGTGGAATGTTGTCCTTCAGCAACAGTTTAAAACAACATTTAGCTCTTGGTTTCTCAGACTCTGTTGAGCCCTAACTTCATTATTCTCAAGATATGTTCTATTATTTCTTTAAAGTTACTTTCATTGACAGTATTGGTCATAGTGTTTGATTTATTTCATCTTATCACATTTTAATTTTGTGTTTTATTATATTTCCATTTTAAAGAGATTGTTTTGCATTGTTAGCTTAATATACGTATTTAGGACTAAACTAAATCTCCTAAACTGGCCGAACCCCACGAGATATTAATGGGGTTATGGCAGAAAATGTCATTAAACTGAAGGTACCCAACTGATGTATCAAATCTTCATAATAGGAATATATAAGAAAAGTATATTTAATTGGCTATAATTATAACCGATGCCACGTTTATTTTTAGTTTCACTAAGTAAGTATCTTGCTCTACTCAGAAGTTAATAGAAAAAAGAGGAAGCACTCTTAAACAAGCTGGAAGATTTTTTTTTTCCGTATTTTATCATTATGGAAGAATACATGTAAAAAAAGGATAATGTATTTTAATATTGATGTCCGATGATAATATTCTATTAACAGAACAAAACCAATGTGTATCGTACATGCATGGATCTTGTACGTATTTCAATAACTAATATTCAGTATCTGTAAAAATTGTTTTCTGTTTAATGTCATCTCTACTTCGTGAACACACAACTGCATAATAATATATTTTCTCCCTATGATGATAAACTGAGTGAAATCATTAGCCAGCTGGCACTTATAGTCATCTAAAGATCCAACTTTTAGTAAAAAAAAGGATGTAGGAAGATCTTAGAACATGTCCATCACCCGTCAAATTAGGCATATTAAACATATTTATCAGATATGAGTGTTTACATGACTCATCCGTTTATTTTTGCTTATAAATTAATAGTTTCTTCACCATATTTATATTCTTGTGATACATTTATTATTGTTACCTTCTTAGTGTTGATAACGTGGTTGCACGTCAGTTGATACATAAGAACGTAGTGTTATTATTTTATCTTACGTCAACTGATCGTTCTGTGAAGACTGGGCTTGCATTCAGTAGGGTTGCTAAAACTGTTTCGGAAATAAAAGAATTTTCACAGGATACTGACTGTTTCTCTTGATAGTTGATACATAAGAACGTAGTGTTATTATTTTATCTTACCTCAACTGATCGTTCTGTGAAAACTGGGCTTGCGTTCAGTAGGGTTGCTAAAATTGTTTAGGAAATAAAATAATTTTCACAGGATACTGACTGTTTCTCTTCATCCAAATGAGTGTTGTTGCAATAATTGGTTCCCACAATGAATGATATTAAACAAAGTCAATGTCTTGAGATTTAATCTTATTTTCTGTGGTTTCATTTAATAGGTGTAAAACAAAATGGTCAGCAGGCCCCAATTTATATGGCAGTAAGAAATTCTCTATGAAAGTGGATGGTAAGTTTCAGTTCAGTAATATTTTACTACATAAGTTCCCTCTACATTGTGTAGGGATGTTTCAAAAGTTGCTAAACATTGAAAGAAGTGTATAATTTATGGCACGAAAATATATTATGTCGACATCTTGTTGATGACAGCTTTCTCAACTGTAGAATTACTTTTTCACAGAGGCCTCGCTAGGCACTGGTACATGGGGCCCGTGCCTCGAATCCCCAGTTGAAAAATTAGAATAGAAAACAACGATCAGTATCATAGTGAAACATAGAAATATCTCGCGCCTGTGGACCCAAGCCCAAATCTCTTAAATACCGAGCTGTGCCTCTGATTCATTGATTGTTAGTTATCATGTTTAACATTAATGCAAAAAAGAAAAATGTTATTTCCCATAAAAATAAATTTTTAGAATACCCGATATAAACTGATTTTCTTTCTTTCTTTCTGTTTCCTCTAAGTACCAATCAGAGAGATGAATTATCGTGATTAATAATGTTCTACGTTCAGTATTAAAATCAGATGTTTCATGGTAACTTATTAAATGAATTGATTAATGAATACTGTTACTTTCGTGGTATAGATGATTTAAGTTCATTGAGTAGAGTCTTTGAGCAAGTTATTAATCTTTAAATGGACTGCTTATGTCTTGGCTGCATGAATGTAACAGTTTAGGCTCATTACTATCAGTAAGCACCTTTCAGGTGTTGATATTCTGTCATTAGGCAGCATTTATTTAGTGTCACTTGCAAAAAATAAACTGAAAAAAGTTCCATCTTTCATTTCTACAAAACTCCAAAGAGTTTCACAAGCAAACAACACGTCAATTTGTTTTTTAATATATAATTTTTCTGCCAATTTCAAAGTACATTCTTATATTTGCTAAAAAGTTATCATCCTTTAAAAATGTAATGGTTTGCATTCTTTTTTACGTGTAGTTTTCCTTCTCTGTTTGTGATCTTTATTACAACTGCCCTATGTCACCCCTTTTATGTGGTCTGAACGATTACTAATGAAGCTCAGCTTTGAAAATAGCTAGAGCCAATGGCTTAATATTGTTACGTCTCCGTTCGTTAGTTAATTTTCCGTAAATTCGTTCCGACGAAACTTTAGCGACACAAATCCTTTCTTAAATAAAACTGGTTTATTCTTTCTGAATATAACTTTGCGATACACTTAATTTCAACAGTCGTGCTATAACAAACGCTATAATTCTCAACGAACGTCTCACGTGCTCGACTTCAACAATACACAGTTCAATTACACATTGTTGCCGTCAATTTGTGACCGTCTTATATATACAAGACTACACTATATCTAGAAGGATCCTGAGATTTAAGGAAAGGACATGAATGTTCGAGAACGACGTGGCATGATACTAGTCATGTGACCTCTGCTGACGCAACAATATATATAATATAATATAGCAGATTATATTATATCTATGTCAGTTAGAGTAAATAAGGTGGTTTGAACATTAATTTGTAGCTTCTTGAGATAATGGCTACCTGGAGGAGTGAACAAAAGAATCTAATGGAAAGTTTAGAACACTTGAGAAAAAACTTCAAATCTGAGGATTTGTTTAGAGTTTCTTTAAAGTTCTTTTCATTTTGAGAAATGTTTTATGCTAAATTATATCTGTTTGAAAGCTAAGGAAATATTATTCTATGACAAAACATTAGGAAATCTTAGTTAGGATTAGCAAGTGTGGTAGGGAATGGCATAATATTTCAGTGATTTGAATGTTAAGTCTATTGTATTTAAAAAATGCGAAAAGATAAAAAAAAAACTACATTTATTAGACCAAGTTGATCTGGGCCAATAATAATGTTGCCAAATAAGTAACCAATTTGAAAGGTGATGTCAACGCTTACTAATAAAGTATTTGTCAGTTTGTGCAGTATTTAATGACTTATAGCCAGAATTGGTAAATTTTGCAATCAAATAAAGTATAAAAATTAATATGTTAATAAATATTAATCATTTAAAACTGACTGGATGTATAAAACTGGACTTTTTAATCAACAATACAGAAATTTAAGCTCTGGGACGAAAAGAAGAATTTTTGTAAATATCACAACCTGAAAAAAATATAGAAGTATTAAATCAAATTATGTAAATACTGTGAGTTACTAGTTACTATTTAGTGAGTTTATGCTAAGTTTCATGTAATATGGTTATGTATTTCCACTGTAAGGAAAGAAAAATCGGGGGATATCAGTAACACCCCCATCTTGTCCAGAAAGGGTTAACATATGAATTAATAGACATGATCTCATTGACACGTCAAGTGGATTCTCCATCACTAGTCGATTATAGTCTCATGTTTAATAACATTTAGCTGTTTTCTTCAAAATCTGTAATTTGATGTTTATTTGACAATCGGGATAATAAAAGCGGTTAACAATTTTGAAAACACGAACACGGTTCTTTATCTCAGATCTGTAAACACTAAAATGTAAATGATTGAGACCTGGATTCAGTCATTCTATTTCTACAATGATGTATGGAGCGAAAACCAATAACTGTAGTGTCGTTAGTATAATATTTACACTATTCTACATATTTTAAATACTGCATTTTATTATTCTGTAAAGAATTAACATTTTTAATTCCAATTTCCTTCTGTAGAAGTTTGAAGTTTTTTTATTTCCCATCTGCTGTTCAGTTGGAAAGCAGTATTATTTCATAGACTTTTAGCACAAATTTAAATATGTTTATTTTGCTGTTACTGTGTGCTATTCATGCAAAAATCTAAGCATATTTTTGAAATTATAAAAAATTCGGGATCATTTCGTAAAGAAACTATGCATGATTTTCCATCTTTTTGTTTTGTGACTGTTCCAAATGTTATTCTACCAGTTGTCTTGAAGTTCAAATAAATACTTGTTTATCTTCTATTGTCGAGCTTAGAAAATTGGAAAATCTTTTAAAAATAACCATGGAAATGAAGTTACGTATTTTCTTACTTTGTGATAATATCGAGTTAAAATGTATACACGAGGACACGTTAATATCATTAATCTTGTTTTTCACACATTATTTCTCAGTCTCTGACAACAACAACAACATTTCCATCAACTTTTAGCTATAAAAAAAATGCATCAATCCTTAGAAAAAGTTCTGTTTAATGGACCGATGTTGAAAATTCTTATATAAAATTTTTTGTAAATTAGTGTGTGCTGATGGTAATCAAACAATCCTTGTCCTTAGCTGAAGATGTTCTGAATATTTGCATAACCAGAAGCTTGTTGGATCTGTATAGCATGGTGAAGAAAACATGGAGTGAAGAGTACTACAAAGACTTTGAGAAAAATAGGTATTTTTTTTCTAGAGAATATTATTTTACTTATTGGTAAGTTTTAACATATTTCATTAACTCCCAATACATTACATGTTTATTTCTTTTTAAGGTTCTACCAGGAACATTTGAGTAGCTAAAAGCATGTTACACATGGTTGTTCTCTGTTATGTCTGGCATTTTTCTTTTAAACATGTCGCAAGAACCATTTAATTGCACCTGTATGTAAGTTCTGTGATACTAAAGATATTATGACATTAACAGATCAACACAGAACATGGTGATGGTTTAAACTATTGGAACTGCTTTAATTGAATAAAATCTAAGGGCATCTATTTTTTATTTAGTTCCTGAAGGCCTGAAGCTATTGAAAAAAAAAACGTTTATATGATTTCAGTCATATGATTCAACTTGAATATATTTCTGTAGACTCTACATTATTTAGAAAAATATATTAACATGAGTTATCACTTGTAAAAGATATATTGTTTGATATTTTATCAAATGATTCTCATCTTATGTAAGTCAAGTATCATAAGGCACATAAGTTGTTTTTTTTTACTAGTAAGATATTAATTTTAAAATTGAGGCCGGGAACTGTAAATCAATATTTTATACATGGTGACTGAAAAATCGTGCAACACAAAAATTTACAGCTGTTCAAAACATGAACTGCTAACGTTACAAACTTACGACACAGTATCACAGCAGGATCATCTCTGTACATTCTTGGAAAGTTAATCCTATCCTAGCACATTATTTTAACAGAAAAAAAAAGCTTAGAAACACAAACGTGGCTTAGAAAAGTCATGCAACACAAAACTTTACAGGTGTTCAAAACATGAACTGCTAACGTTACAAACTTACGACACAGTATCACAGCAGGATCATAGCTAACGTTACAAACTTACGACACAGTATCACAGCAGGATCATAGCTAACGTTACAAACTTACAACACAGTATCACAGCAGGATCATCTCTGTACATTCTTGGAAAGTTAATCCTATCCTAGCACATTATTTTAACAGAAAAAAAAGCTTAGAAACACAAACGTGGCTTAGAAAAGTCATGCAACACAAAACTTTACAGGTGTTCAAAACATGAACTGCTAATGTTACAAACTTACGACACAGTATCACAGCAGGATCATCTCTGTACATTCTTGGAAAGTTAATCCCATCCTAGCACATTATTTTAACAGAAAAAAAAGCTTAGAAACACAAACGTGGCTTAGAAAAGTCATAGTAAGGGTGAGACTCGTAAATATCAATGGTGCAGAACATTTCATCATCTTTTTGTTTAATGCTTTAAAAATGTAATTTTTGGTATCATTAGATAAACTTGTGATAATTATTAGTTAGGTGTTTTAAAAGAACTGCTTTATAACTGCCAGTGTTCTTGGAATAAAATATGATTTATCAAGTAATTTTTTTTTCTCTCTATATCTCGTGATACATTTTTTTAATCTCAAATCACGTGTTCTTGTTTCTTACATCTAGTGAGCCAGCAAAGAAAGGAATTTCTAGTCGTGCTTATAGACGGAGATCACCGTTTGTTCCATTCGCTTTACAAAACGACACTGATTGCAAGTTAAAGTTTGCAACTGTGATCTCATCGTTAGAAAGGTAACATGGATGTTTTTACAAAGTTAGATTGCATATTTTGTAAAACTGAAAACATAAACCTCCTATCTCTTATTCAACTGTAAGAGATTAAACCCTTGTGAGTTGATGCATATAACATTTAGAATACTTTTACACCTAAAAACGGGGGCACTACTCATAAATATTAATTATGACTATCACATGGATAAATGTATAAAGTGTCTTTAAAGCAATATATATATTTGTGAAAGTGAAAAAAAAAATCTGATTCTAACTGCCAGTTTTTGAGGAAAAGCTTCAACCTTGCAGAGTGTGCTGCATGAAACTTAAGCTTTGTATAGCTAATCTGATAAAAACACTGGACTGGTTGTTTCAGGCTTATGGCAGCTTATTTCGTATCTGTGACAATTTTTAGAGGATAAATTATTCAGTAAAGGTTCTTGTGCTTTTAGGTCAACCCCGTTGTCTTTTCAATGGTTTGTTACTAAGAGTGTTGCATAATATCTAGTTATTGTACTCCTTGTTCTGATATTGTATATTTATATATATGCATATGATATGCTGGCATATTCTACATTTTCTACTACTTATTTACTACATTGTAATGTTGGCAACACGTTTAAGAAAGCTGTTAACAATACCTTGTTATAGTTACTTAGTTCGGTTTAGAAAGAGAGGTCCTCTTGGTCCACGAGGATATTTCAGCATTGGAAGAAAGGTTGAAAGGTTTAGCATTGGAATATCCTTTATTGGTTGATTATGACATTGACTGTAAGTGACAACCAACCAATGCTGTTAGGGAACAGAGGTCACAAGGTGATGCCATCCACTGGATAAAGAAAGTGAGTTTACATACTAGATCTGAGCTCACTTTCTTAGTTCAGTTCTCTCTACTAGATGATCTGTGGAGAGGATCCACCTTTTGGGGATAACTATGTTTAGTTCAGCTGCAATAAATCCTGCAAGAGAGAGAAGGTATAAAAACTACATGCAATCTAGGGGAGAAAGAACTGCCTGCTTGTCAGTGTGGGCATTATCTTGTCATTTGTGTAATAAAGATTGTGTATACTCTCATCAAGTTGTCCAGACTCTCATTTCACATATAAGAAAGGAAGGTAGTAATATTGTCTCTTTCAGAAACTCAATAATTCATGTGTAGACCATCTGATATCTGATAAACACTTGTAGGGGAAGTAAAGATAACTGAGGGTACCAGTAACTGAGAGTCAGTCTTCTATTTATGGATATTTAAGTATAAAATATCAGTTTAAATATGAGAACAAAGAGACACTGAATCTATACACTGTGTGTTTATGTATAATTGGTTTAGTTAATGTAATATTATTTCTCAACACACTGTGTTTCTGTGTAATTGGTTTAATTAATGTGATATTATCCCTGAAATCTACATTCATATCTTAAGCTGAAAACGACAATACTGGTTGATTCTTTAGTTGTTTTTAAGTAGAACTTTGTTCGATAACATCTCGTACAACTCTTACGTTTCTAAACATAGGAATACAAAGGAGCCACATTACATGAATTTCCACCAAGTTGCTGATTCTGGTCTATCCTGGATAGATGCCTATCCTGGCCAGATTATTCCTTTTAGTTTTGAAGAACGTGATAAAATGAGACACAGGGTAAGAATATTTTTTTGCTTTCATTATACTTTAATTCTTACAACACTAGAACATATTTTACATCACTGAAAAAGAAAAAAAAGGTATTTTCTAAATATAATTTCTCTAGAATAACTTGCAAAAAAAAAATTTACCATGAGCGTGACAAATCAGGAAGGAGTGATATATGCTGTATCACATTTTAATTACACCTCTGAACAGTTTGCCATATGCTTACTTTTTTTTAATAGACAGTGCAGTGAAAAGGAAGTTTTGACATTTTCTACAAATTCAGATATGAATTATTAGGATTTTATGATTATATTTTATTTCAAAGTACTATTTAAGAACTAATTTTGTGATATTTTCATTTATTTAACTTGTTCTTCAATACAGTATTTATGAAATTGGGGATGATTCAGAATTTTATTAAGTAAATTAAGTTTTTTACATGTGTGACTTATTTTTATTGTTATGTTTCAGGACTCTCATCAATTAAAGATTCATCAGCTCATAGTAAAGATTGATGGCCTTCGACAAGTGGCACCTGTGTCCGTTGACCGAGTAGGGGTTTACTTTCGAGAAACAAAACCAGAAGCCAGTCGATTGACAGTTGTGGTAAGTTATTTATTGTCTGAAATTTTTCAGATACAACTTGGTTACAGTGTTTAAATTTAGGAAGGACGTATGAACATAATACTAATCCTGCCTGAAAACTTGGTAAATAATTGAAGTAATTTTGGTAGGAGATTAAAAATCTTTAACATTAATTTTTATGCACAGTTTTAAAAAAGTTTAATCTGTGGAATGATTTAAGTAACAAATATGTGTATCTTGGGCAGCTGAAAATTTATTTATCAAATTATTCAGTGAATCACATTTCCAAATTCTCTACGGGACACAATCTGTCCCTGTGGTTGAGCTCTGGATTTTGGAGCTGGCAATCTGGGTTCAAATCCATGCAATACTACAAAATATTCCTTGCACTTTAAGCTGTGGGTGTATTATAAGAATGACAGTCAATCACTTAATGTGAATAGTAGTTGCGGTGCAACTCATTGGCTGCCTTCCTTCTGGTCAGTAGTTCAAAAATAGAAATGGCAGCTTTATAGTTTTACCTTAGTAATAATAATAAAAAATCCATATTTTATAAAGTAAATTATGCAAAGGCATACAAGTAAAAGACAGAGGCAAATTATGAAATATATACAGTTAAGGAACTTTGTCACATCTTCCTGTGAAATATGAGTATATAATAAACGTATGGAGGGACAACTTTAGATGATAAAAATTCCTATATATGAATATAAAACAAACTTTTTTTTTCTTTTCAACAGAGAGATGAACCCCCAGTCAGAGTAGTGTTTGCTGTGAAGTTGGAGGGCAGTGCTCGTAAGTTAGTGACTGTACGGTCAGCACTGCAGATTAGCAACCTGTTGAAGGAAGCTGTAGAAATCAAATTAGAAAATACTACGTTAAAGTCAGGTACTAGTTTCTAGTTGTATGTAAAATAGTAAACACAATTGGGAACTTGTTTGTTGTTGTAAAGTAGTAATAACAACATCAATAGGTGAAACTGCAGTCCACAGCAGAGGGTACGACCAATCAAGGAAAGTATAAGGCCTCTACGTCACAGATCCTCTTTTCAATTTTACTTTTGGTGAGAATGGAAAGAAATCTGTAACATATATATGTAGTAATAACAACTGCTTTACAGTTGGTTACTTGTTTGTAGTTCTGGTGTGTATTTAAAAACAATAGGACATAAAAAATGGTGTAAAATTATAATGACATAGAAAGTGGTCTGCTCAGAGATAATTTATAGTGTAATATTTTCTCATCCTAAAACCTCACGTTCTGTATGCATGTTTGTGTTTGTTATGAAAAGTAATATTAGTTTATGTGAAGTGAAATTATTATATTTTAAATAAATTAAATTTCAAAATGTATGTTTTTCTACAGTGTCTGCACACACTCTCTTCCTTCTTCCCCATACAAATCTTTTCATGCCTCTCCATTTTGTCCATGCCAACATTTGGGTTAGACCTGCCGATCGTCAGGTAACTACGTGTGACAGTCCTATCAGATGGCAACACGTAAGCAGACCCAGGGAAATAAATGGAACAGTCAAGTCATGTTCTCCGTTGTATGGGTCAAAAGAACGATACAGGTAAGAATTAAGCTGTTCGTATTCGTCCTGACTTGTTTTTTTTTCTGTATCTGTCTTTATACAACTATTTTAAAGGTCATCCCAGACCATTTTATTTACATCTTACTGTGACATCAAACTGTTTTGGAAGGTAAAAAGCAAAGTCTTGAAAAGGTTGAGCTGTTTCTTGAGTGGTGTAAAAAGTGAAACAGCATAATGACTCAACCACTATTGAAAAGGTTGAGCTTTTTCTAGAGTGGTGTAAAAAGGGAAACAGCATAAAGTCTTAACTGCTATTGAAAAGGTTGAGATGTTTCTAGAGAGGTGTAAAAAGTGAAATGTCGTAAAGACTCAACCAGTATTGAAAAGGTTGAGATGTTTCTAGAGAGGTGCAAAAAGTGAAATGTCATAAAGACTCAACCAGTATTGAAAAGGTTGAGATGTTTCTAGAGAGATGTAATAAGTGAAATGTCATAAAGACTCAACCAGTATTGAAAAGGTTGAGTTGTTTCTAGAGAGATGTAATAAGTGAAATGTTGTAAAAACTCAGCCAGTATTAAAAAGGTTGAGATGTTTCTAGAGAGGTGCAAAAAGTGAAATGTCATAAAGACTCAACCAGTATTGAAAAGGTTGAGTTGTTTCTAGAGAGATGTAATAAGTGAAATGTTGTAAAAACTCAGCCAGTATTAAAAAGGTTGAGATGTTTCTAGAGTCGTGTAAAAAGTTGAATATACAGAGCCATGCTTTATGCTTAGGTTATTTCAGGTTGGGGTTATAGAAGAGTTGTAATCAACTTACTGAAAACAGAGAGTTACAGATTGTGAAAATGTAAAAATTAATCTATCCTCTAATGGTTATACATGGATTCAGTATATTCACTTATAAAATAAAGAGCTGTTAATATTTCATACACATCCTTCAAGAGAGTTAAAGATATCCTGTGGCCACCTACCATAAGCATTGAAAATATTCTATACCTATCTTTCTATATGATTGAAACCACCAACCATCAAGAAAACTATGGATATTGTAGTCACTCACCAAGAAGGCTTGGGATAATCGAGATTGCTACTTTATAAGAGATTGCTAGATTTTGTGTCAATTCTGTAGAACAAATTCAAATACCTTTTTTTTTCGTCTTTTCTTCATTATTTCTATAGCCATATTATGCTCACTCGGATATACACTTAGGACATCACCAGCTCTGTTATGCCACAATCTTTTTACTAGCCATATTATGCTCACTCATAATATGTACACTTATGACATCACCAGCTCTGCCATGCCACAATCTTTCTACTTGAAGTAGGTGATTGGGGTGAAAACCAATAACTGTAGTGTTGTTAGCATAATATTTACACTATTCTACATATTTTAAATACTGCATTTTATTATTCTGTAAAGAATTAACATTTCTAATTCCAATTTCCTTCTGTAAAAGTTTGAAGTTTTTTTTATTTCCCATCTGCTGTTCAGTTGGAAAGCAGCATTATTTCATAGACTTTTAGCACAAATTTAAATATGTTTATTTTGCTGTTACTGTGTGCTACATAAGGTGATCATTCATTGTTTGAGAATAATCTATACCAGTAACCTAGTAATAGAACATATTCTTTTTTCTTTAAATACAACAGAATTAAGTGATCCTCTCAACAGCTTTAACATTCTATATATTGCTCAATGATTTTAGGAGTACTACAAGTACAAAATTTTGTGACTTGTTACTCGTAGGCTTCTATCCAAAATGTACTCAGTTACTCATTAATAAGTTTACAGGTGTGATTTCATTTAACTCTTTAAACCCGGGTTCAGTCCCTGGGACTGACCTCATAACCATTTTGTGCTTGTTGTAGTTTCATGCTATAACTTTTAAATCAGTAAGCGAATGTTAAGAAATTTCGCAGTTAACCAGTAAACATTACAATGCTTTCATATGCAAAATATCAAATTTTTTTATCGAGCCTTAAGGTTTGTAAAGCAATGTTTCTCTCATGCATTTTTTTTTCTTTTCACATGTTGCCTATCTATCATGCGAAGTAATTTTAAGATAAAAAATACTTTTATGCATCAGAAGATTTTGAAATTTCACGTGCAAAATCTATATAATGTCTGGATAGTTATCAAATCGTTCTTGTGATTTCATCTAACATTCAACTTATTGATGAAAGCAGCATTATACACTACACGCACGACAAATTAATTTCAGTCGCAGCAACCAACCTCCCATGTATCACATTGTCATTTCCTTATTGGAGAGTAAATTCCTCCTCTAAGTTAAAGACAGGTGAATACTAAATATTAAATTTCAAAACATATTTATAGCCACCCCAGGGTTACTGTAAAAATGCATCCTCATGCACATGTGCCTGTCTTAATGGCATGCACTGTATTGCATGGGATTACAATATTTTAGTTTTTATTGGAACTGTCCTTTTCGAGAACTTAAAAATTATTACCTAGAAGGCTACCATAAAGCTAAGTTTGTTGGGGCAAAAAATATTATTTCTTCTGCAAATTTGTTAAATATTTAATGTTTCACACGAATTGTGAACAAAAACAGCTGTATTTATTTTAACGGTTACCCCTTTATAGTGATTTTGTAACCAGCTACTTCTGATACCCTGACGGTCATCAAGTTTCAGTAATAGAGCTAAGTGATTATAACATTTTTTGAAATACTTAAAATATATTTAATATTTAATAAATAAAATTTGTATGTTTTTTGTTGTTGCAGAATGAGTGGAAGGTTTACATTCATTTGGTGTTTACATATCGAGCGTGAACATTTTTGTGTGCAAGTGTAATGTATACTGATGTTCGAGTATGGATCAAGGCATTGTAAAAGTTTGGTAATTCTTTGATTTTAATTCCAAATACATTTAGGTTTAGTGTTATTGTGAAGCGGGAAAACTTTCCTGCAGAAAGAACTTCTGAACCCGGTATGAGGGGATCAACGTCGTCAAGTTCCTTGACCAGATCAACTACACCACCAAGAAGACTACTCGTTAAGCCTGGCCACAAGATTTTCTTTATTCCTTCACTGGTTGTAGTTAACCTTTTACCCTATGACCTTCATTACTGTGTCAGAGATGCAGATATAAAGGGGTGCATCAAGCCTGGAAAAAGTACCGACTTACATTCTGTGAGTTTTATATGTAGAGTGTAGTTAATCTTGCATGATGAAACTAAACAGGGATTGAATAAAAAAATTCTGGAATTTTTATGTGTGTAACTGTTGAATTTTTTCATGGCTGTGTGAATTGCACAACATGTTAGTGAGTGTGGATTGTAGAAAATGTTAGTGAGTGTGGATTGTACAACATGTTAGTGAGTGTGGATTGTAGAAAATGTTAGTGAGTGTGGATTGTAGAAAATGTTAGTGAGTGTGGATTGTACAAAATGTTAGTGAGTGTGGATTGTACAAAATGTTAGTGAGTGTGGATTGTACAATATGTTAGTGAGTGTGGATTGTACAATATGTTAGTGAGTGTGGATTTTTCAAAATGTTAGTGAGTGTGGATTTTTCAAAATGTTAGTGAGTGTGGATTGTACAATGTGTTAGTGAGTGT